ATGCTGGATTGAGCTGGTGTGTGAGGCCGATCACTGCATCTACGTCAAGTGGGATGACCAAGACATGATCTTCGTGACACTCTACGTCGACGATCTGGTCCTTGCAAGCAACAACGACGAGTTGCTCAAGTCGATGAAGATGGCGCTAAGTGAACGCTTCGACATGACGGACTTGGACCACCTCAAGTATTTCCTTGGCATGGAAATCGAGCAAGACGTGTCTGCTGGAAAGTGTCGATGCGTCAGACCAAGTTTGCGAAGGACATTCTGGAGAAGTTTGGGATGGAGAACAGTAATCCTGTCAAGACCCCTCAAGACCCAGGACTCAAGTTGACCAAGGCCATGTACGAAGGAGGTTGCAAGCATGAAGAGACCATGGCCAAGATTCCCTATCGCAATGCTGTCGGCTGCCTGATGTATTTCATGGTGGGACTCGGCCGGACCTCGCTGCTGGGGTGGGAGTTCTCAGCCAGTTCGCTGCAGACCCGTGTCGCACACACTGGCAAGCACGCGAGCGCGTGTTCCGCTACATTCAAGGCACGAAGACGCATGGCATCGAGTTTCAAGCAACAAGTGAAGTGGGACTCCAAGGCTACTCGGATGCATATTGGCCATCAGCTTGTGCTTGCTGTCTGACTACCCTGCGCAGTTCCATGTGTGCTACCAATCCACTCCAAACTTACTCAAAATTTGCTATCGCTATCACTAACAATTCTTGCCGGAATTACATAGTAACGAACCACATGATCAAAGAAAACTTGGGCCGTCACTTCCGCTGTTGCATCCTTGGTGGTTGGAATGTAGCAACGCCACTTGCTTAATCGATCCACCACCACCACCACTGTGTTGTAGCCCTTCGAGACGGGTAGTGCCGTAACGAATCCATGGTAATGTGCTGCCAGCAATAATCGGGAATTGGTCATGGTTGTAGCAATCCTTGACGTGCTCGAGAAGAGCTCTTGTTTCGAACGCAGCACTCGCATGTTTGAATATATTGTTCAACATGCTTGCAGAGACCTCCCCAATAAAACCACTGCTTCACTGCCAAGTAAGTACGTGTCAACGCCCGGATGTGCTGATATAGAGTTGTCGTGATAGTCGTGTAGTACTCGGAGAATGATCTCATCAATCACAGGGAGAACAACGATCTTTGTGCGACCTTTGCCTTTCAGCTTTAGAGGACCACCCTCGAGGCAGAATCGGGGGTGTTCAAAGGTTGGATGTGTCTTGAATTGAGTAACAATGTCGCGCAACGCATGGTCATGCTCGTAACTGGCTAAAAGCTGTTGGC